AGTAGTAGTAGTAACAATAATAATAAGAGGAACAATTTAATAGTAGTGATAGTAACGACACGGGATGAAAAACGAAGCATAGAAAAACTATCATTGTAACATTTAGAAGCGACAATAAGATTGATAACAACAGCTGTTACAACAATGACGGTCTCAATACTTGTCATGGGCGGACACATTCTGCAAGTATTTGGTTCGTGGGTCCGCACACCGAAATCATCAAGGCTCCAGGCATTCCTATGCCGAAGCTATGGTGGCGCAGCTCGAAGCTGAGTCACCGTCGGCATCGGCTTTCAGACCACACCATCCATGCAGTTGAAGAGTCAAAATGACGTAAGGGCAAAAGCCAGTAGAAAAGGACTCCCACTCATCCGATGCTGGTGCAAGCGCTTGTTGCGGTCTGCTAGTCGGTAAAACCAAGCCTGGGGAGGTGTTCTGCTTGCTGTAAAGGAACTGCTCTCCCAGGACAAAAAAAAGATATCTGCAAGCCTCCGAAGCAGCTCGCAGGAAGAGTCTTCAAGAGAGGGCAAATAATTTTTGGCTTCAATGTTTTGTAAGTATAACTTCGCATTTTTGATTTGGTAAATAACCACCGACCACGTCGACGAACGAGGCCGGGGTTTTCTGTTGTTTGCAACATCCACGCCCCTCCTGGCCGAAATGTCGACAAATCAACATGCACAACGCCAACGCTGGAAACCGCACAAAAACCAGCCTGGACCGAGGAGTACGGCCAGAATCACTCTCTTCTAGGCAGCCCCTCACAGACCAAGTCCAAAAGACGAATCATGCCTGGTGGTTCGATGTGCGCAGCCTGGTGCTTTGTGGCACGACCCCTGGTCGTTGGGCACTGGATCTGAAACAGGACAACAGTCAGTGCCAGGTGCTGCGTCGCGTGGCAGTATCAGGTGCCGTCTCGTCGCAGAGATGGCCCCACCTATGCGTAAGGCGTAAGAGGCCAGTCCAGGCCAAGGCGAAGATACCCGCTACTCGTTTCCATCCCCATGTCAACGCAGACCAGGCCGCGCAGCAACAAAGCATTGATAACATCCGGGTATCTGTCGTAGCCGGCACCAGATCTAAACAATGATCGCCCGTAGCACACGAGAAGGTCAGCTGTCCTTACGGACCGATCAAGGGGCCAGGCCAGGACCTCCTTCAAAGTATAGGCGGTGCACTCGAACAACCAAAGCTCGAAGTCAGCCTGTAGCTTACGTAGCCCGGTTCGCCCGGGTCATTGGTCGAACGACCGTCGATTGGCGCACGGGCCTCGAATGCAGCAGAGTCGGCGGCAACGAGGGCACTACATCCTAGTAGGAATACCCTGAAATTGCGAATCAAAACCCAACCCTCCCCCATGGAAGCCCAGCATCCGATCAAAAGCGAGGAGGTTTAAAAGTTGGTGGCAGTAGGCAGGAAACAGGCGAGGCGGTACGCGAAGGCTAGGGCTAGGAAAGCATGAGGCTCAGGCGGACAGGCTCGCACAGAGTCCGTGGGTGGTCCAGATTGGGAGGCGGCGGCAGAGGCTACCGGCCGAGGGGGGCCGAAGGTGCGGGATTATCAGCGGGTTGGCGCAAACCCCAAACAAAGGACACCAACAGCCAAAGCGTCCCCAAAGAATCCTGGATTTTGGATCTTGGATCCGGGCCCGGATTTAAATTCAATCCTTCAATCCAGTTTCAATCCAGGCCACAGTACTGCG